AGTAGTGACTTTTAGCATGTTTTCATATGTCTCTTGGTCTTCTGAATGTCTTCTTTTGAAAGGTGTCTATTTAAGTCCTTTGCCCATTTTTTGATTGGATTATTTATCTTCTTTTTGTTAAGTTGAATGAGTTCTCTGTAAATGTTGGAGATTAAAATCTTAATGGAGATAACATTGGCAAATATGTTCTTCCATGCAGTGGGCTTTCTTGTTGTTTTGTTGATGGGTTCTTTTACTGTGCAGAAGCTTTTTATTTTGATGTAATCCCATTTGTTTATTTTCTCCTTAGTTTCCATTGCCCTAGGAGTTGTATTGGTTTTAGTGTAAAAGTACCTGTTTTTTTTTTATCCTTTTACAAAATATTGTTCCTCCACCCTGATGCTGCTGCCACTTCTGCAGCCTGTACTTCTGTAGCTCCGGCCACTACGATAAATACTTGGGGAGTTTAAATAATTATTTCCCATATTTTCTCTTTCTGAGTAGACTAACAATATGAAATCTTACATATAAGAATAGATCTTAAAAACAGAAACAAAAAAAATCCCTACAGTAAATGAATTAGTACTCAGAAAAAGGTGGACTGGGACATTAGCCTTAGAATCTTATCTCACACTAACCCAGCACAGCAAATGTGTTCTGAGTGGCACAAAGCCCAAACAGCAGAGAGAGGATTCCCTATGTTCATAAAATGGCAAAGTGCAAATTAAGTCCCCCAAAGATAAGAAAGCAAGCAAAGAACATCAATCAGTAACCAAGTTACATTACAGACAGACAAGAACTTCCACTAGCTAAGAGTTTCTAGTGGCTGATGTCTTGAGAGGGAGAGCAGGAAGGGTCCCCAAGATTAAGAATATATATATATAAAGAATTCTTGGCATCTGCTGGGAAGTCCCTGCAATCCCTGCTATGTGTTCAGCCTGCCACAAGTAGCTGGGGCCCTTAGCAAAGAGAAATATGGCCCGTCTTTAAACAAATTAAACCAAACAACGAAGACACAAAACAACAATTAACAGAAACACTCATATATGATATTTACAGGAGTGCATAACACACAGGCAAGACTTAATAAATCAGAGTTCTTTCCATGGATCTTTCAGAAGATGTCTTATAGTGCCTGGGACTTACAGCCAGAATGCGGCCCAGAGGGCTCCCAGGTGGGGTTGCCAGTGAACACCCACAAACAGCCTGTTGTTCACAGATCTCATCATATTCTGCCCTCCATCATAGATATTGACTGGTGTCCAAAGTTGTTTTGGCCAAAATCTGCCAGTCCCGAGGTATCATATGGTAATTTTCAGACAAGGCATTAAGGAGTCCTTTTGTAAATAGACTATTAGCCCCATTTTCCCTAATACTTTTCCTTATTTCTTTAAAGGTATTAAAGGAGAGTGGTTCATGTATCTGATTACCTTGCTGATCTTGCATAACTGGGAAAGCCAAAAGCTCTCCTTCTAACATAGCTTGCCTGACACATGATCCCATAACTGAGGATCTAGTTGATGAGCCTTCCCACACTGGAGGCCGAGGATCGGGAAAGGTTCCTCTGACAGTGGGGTCTTAGATATTACAGGCTCTACAGGCTCTACTTCAGGAGGAAGGGGCAGTGATAAATCCTCCTGGTGTTCTGTAGGCTTTTGATCCTCAATATGAAGTGGGCATAGTGCAGCTCGAATAAGAGCCCACATAGTTAAGGATGCTAAGGGACCTCGTTTTCCCTGGGCCTGATTTCTCTTTAATTCTTGCCCACTTGTTCCCAGAGATTAAGGTCTAGTGTTCCAGCATCAGGGAACCAAGGATTATAAATTATAACAGTCTGTAACAGGCTCATTAATTGTTCTGTAACAGAGGCACCACCTGCTTTTAATAACTGTTTAAGCACTGTGATATATTGCTGTTATTCTGTGAATAGCTCTTGTCCCATTGTGAAACAGTCCCCTAGAACCATGGTCGGCAAACTGCGGCTCCCGAGCCACATGCGGCTCTTTGGCCCCTTGAGTGTGGCACTTCCTAAGCCTTAGGAGTACCCTAATTAAGTTAATAACAATGTACCTACCTATATAGTTTAAGTTTAAAAAATTTGGCTCTCAAAAGAAATTTCAATTGTTGTACTGTTGACATTTCACTCTGTTGACTAAAGAGTTTGCAGACCCCTGCCCTAGAACTTGGAAATCTCAAGCAGGCTCCAATGACTTACCGCACAGTTACTTTCATTTTCTTATCCTTCATTTTTGAGGTTCTGACACGTCTCATTGTGTTCCTCCTTACATGGGGCACCACTTGTTGATGCTGATTAGCAGACCTCAGCTACAGATGAATAATTACTCTGACACACGTTTCTGTGAAAGAGAGGGCTAAGGGACTGCTTGGCTATAGGAACCAAACAGCCCCATTTGCCTGCCTCCTCAGGCTTTTATTGTAACAACAGCTTGAACTAAAATTAACTATTCGACACTATCATCTTTGAGAAAGGATGATAAGCATCCTTGAGAAAACACATGTGTCTGCAGTGTCCTTTAAGCAAGGACATCTAAAAACTAAACATAAAGATTCCAGTAAAACACTCAGGGGCTTTGTTTGGAAAAGTCAAGGCAGGGGCAGCTGCCTTCGGCCAGCTCCCCCTGGGGGCTCCTGACCTTTTGGAGATTCCTTCTTACAAACTTTCCAACCAAGTTCTGTGCTTCCCACAGAAAGTAATAAAAAGAAAAAGAAAAGAAAAACAGAGAAAATAATACAGACGTACACCCTCCAACCCCTATTGATCTCTTCCAGTCTTCCCCCACCCTCTACCTTGGGCCTTCACCACTCTATTGTCTGTGTCCATGGGTTATGCATATATGGATATAAATTCTTTGGTCAATCTCTTCTCACCCACCCACCCCCACCTTCCTTCTGAGATTGATCAGTTTGTTCTATGTTTGTATGTCTCTGGATCTGTTTTGTTCATCAGTTTATTTTGTTCTTTAGATTCCACATATGAGTGAGATCATGTGATACTGTCTTTCTCTGACTGGTTTATTTTGCTTAGTATGATACTCTCCAGGTCTCTCCATGCTGTCTCAAAGGGTAAGCAATATTTTGATGGGAAGACTGGAAGAACACTTTAAGTCAATTATTTTCTTTCAAGTCAAAGAAAATAAAAAACAACAACTGTTTATTTCCTTGTTTGATTTGTATTTGTTTTAGTTTTCTTCATTTCAACTTTATAGATTAGAAGTAACATCAGGCTTACACTCACTAGAAAATTATTATCATCTCTTTTGATTGGGATCTTACCCTGAAAGAGGTTTGCTTGCAGGAGGATTAAAGGAGTGAACTCACATGGTGGAGGGCATTCATTCTGGGTGCAATTAATGTTTGAGAAAGTTAATGTGAATATGGATCAGATCAAAAAGAGACAAACAGATTTGTAACTTAATGGCTTATACCTAGCTTGATATTTTATTTTTTTACTTGAACATTCTCTTACTTGTTTGAGACCAATGCCATATTTTTGAATGAGTCACTGAAAGCTTGTCTCACTTGTTTGTTTCTCAGAGTGTAAATGAATGGGTTCAACACAGGAGCGATGGATGTCATTAGCACTGTCACACCCTTATTAATAGCCACTGATTCCTTGGCTGAAGGTTTGATATAGATGAAAATACAGCTTCCGTAAGTCTGAGCATGAAATCTTCAACAAAGGAGATACATCACAGACAAAATAATCAATGACATTTGAATCACAGAATTTCAAATTTAGGAACAAAGTAAATGGTGGGAGTATGATCAACAAGCCAGCCATCCAACAACAGAGGACCAGGCTCTTGCAGACTCTGCTGCTCATGATGGTCACATAACGTAAGGGTTTGCAGATGGCCACATAGCGGTCATAGGACATGACAGCTAACAGGAAAAATTCAGTTACTCCAAAGATGTCAGTAAAAAACAATTGAACAACACAAGGATTGTATGTAATTGATCGGTCACCTGTTGCTATGTTGTACAAATATCTAGGGATACAAGCAGATGTGAATGAAATTTCTAACAAGGCAAAATTCTGTAGGAAAAAGTACATGGGTGTTTTAAGGTGGGAGTCCACTAAAGTGAGGGATATGATGGTCAGATTCCCAGTTATACTCCACGTGTAAGTGAGAAATAGAAAAGTAAAAATTGGAACCTGAAATCGAGGGTCATCTGTCAGTCCCAAGAGGATGAAAGTTGTTATTGTGTGGTTTCTCATTACTGAACTTTATTTAATTTCATGTAAAGTTTAGAGATATTCTATTTGAATAGAGTGGTATCAAAGCCAGATAAAGATAAACAGTGACTACTAGCAAACTAATTCACATGCAGTTTCTGCTATAAATTAATAGTTGATATTGCCAACACTCTGGTGGGCCTTGCTACTTAATTGCTTATTTTATTTTATTGTTTTGGCAGTTTTGTGATAGGTTTTAAAACATATTTTAAATAAAAAAAATTGTTTTAGCACTGTTGTTTCCTTTTTTATTTCAGTTTTAACTTATACCAAAGACTGAACTTTCTCACATGGGTAGTTTTGACCTATATAATGTTTTGTGATTCAACAAAATTATGATTTCTTCTTATGTCTAAGATTTCTTATCTCAAAGGTGAATATTTAAATGTAATACCTTTTTCATGTCTTTCCATGAAGATTTGGTCATGATAAAATGGAAACATGTAAGAACTAATCTGAGCTCCATGCACAGGCGTGGTTGGTCTACCTGTAACTTGTATTTCACATTTCGCCACTATGACCAAATATGTTTATGTTGTTTTGTTTTCATGTTTTAACATGTAGCTTAAACATTGTTGGACGACTCCTCTGACTCTCCTTATGTTTCTCTGCTAGTGTGTAATTTACGCTCAGTGTCTACTGGATATACAATACAGAGTATTTTACTGCATGATGTATTTGCCGAAGGCGAAGAAATGTCAGACCTAATGATGTACAGCTGGAAAAAACTCACAGTTTTTTTATGCTTTTCATTCTGTTTAGTTAAGCATGGAAAACACTCTGACGCCTTTTTGTCACTATTACTACGTCCAAAATCAACTCTAAATTACTAAATATACTCTCCATGCATATGTCTTTATCGTCTCCCTCAGTCTTAGCCTTAGCGGCAGTACATCAAGATTAAGATCAGATCTGCAGCGAGATCTCCATCATCCAATACCTGCTTTTCCGCCTTCGCCTGTATGACTGTCGGCAAGTTTTCCAACTTCTCAGGCATTCAGTAAGTTAATCTACAAAATGGAGATAAAAACAGTATCTACCATATTCACCTAAAATGATAATCTTAAAATATAAATATTTTACATTTGTATAAGATAAATTCATTTAATTAAATTCTATTCAATTTCAATCCAGTGTATTTGTGTGACTTCGGTTTTTAAATCCCTTTTTGTTTTTGTATTTTTGTTGTATTATTTCAAAATGTCACCTACATTGAAATAGGTTTATGAATGTACCACAAGCTTAAAATTAATTTCCAACACACTTTTATGTAACTCTTTGTTTTGTACAATAAAATTGGATGCATGGCACATGCTTCGTGTATGGCAGTTGTTATTTTCTCGCCTCTTACAGATAATTTATGTGCTGTGAACTCAAAATCCCAAATGGGACTTATGCTTTGTGTAACCCATATAGTCTTCTTTCTACTCCATGTTCCTTATACTAGAAAGAATAAATTCTATTTATTGAGAATTTACTATCTGGTAGTTCTTGTAAGCACTTCATATTGATGATCTGTCTGAAAAAAAAAAATCCTTTCTTATCTCTCTCTTTCCACATTCCATCTTTACTTCCCAGTCTCCCAAACTACCCAGATGTAACTATATGTTTGTGATTTTCACTTGAGCATCATTTCTACTGGAAAGTCCTTTGGTACTCTATTGTCTACGTTAAGTGTTCCTCATTTATGCTTCAATACAAATAATTGCTGCTTCCACTTTAGCACTTCCTCTGAGAAAGTGAGTTTGTTGAAATCAGGGACTGTTGTCTTCTCTACTGGGATAGCTACCAAAACCAACAATCCGAGACTTATAGTCCATGGTAAGACATATTGTTGTGTAAATTACATACACACATAATAACGTATATGTTTTATTCATTTGCCTACACATTCAAACCTATATTTAAGTTTCATCTTGAAACTCCTTTGCCACACTTATTTTACTTTCTACTTGTAAATTTTACATATCTTTGTATTTAACACAGGATTTTTTTGCATTTGAAACAGTAATTTTGCTGGCGAATAAAGCCATGCATACCATGAACTATCACCCTTTTTGCTTATGTCATTGCTTCCCTGCTTACCAAACTGTTAACTGGCTTCTCTTCCTTGCTTTAGCTCTCAAGCAGATAGTTGTATCTTTCTCGGTGGCTATTCTTTGTTTCTTTGAGGAAATCTGTAAGATATTTAAACTAGAGGTCAAGGAATTTGCATATCTGAATATGTAATTTGTTCACATGCTATTCATTTTAACTTATAAATATTTTACATTTCTATTAGGTAAATTTATTTAATTTAATCCTGTTTAATTTCAATCTAGGGTATTTGTGTGACTCCAGTTTTTAAATCCCTCTTTATTTTTGTTCTTATTATTTCAAAATGTCACCTACATTGAACTAGGTTTATGAATGTACCACAAGTTTAAAATCAATTTCCAACACACTTTTATGTCTCTCTTTGTTTTCCATAATTGTTACAATATCTTCAAAAGTATCTTTTTATAAACATTATCTCGTAATTTCATAATAATTCCTGGAAATGAAATTTTAAGAAAAAAGGAGATAATAATTTAGAACTTTTGTAATCATTTACCAAGTTATGATTAATAAACTTTGTATCACCTTTTCCTTCAACTCAAAGTGTGACTGTATCCACACTATGGTTCATGTGCCTTTTCCCAAGATGGTTGAATTTTTATTTGAAACAGGTTTTGGTTCCATTGAATATTCACAGTTTATACGATGGGATATTTATCCATTCAGTCTACATCTAAGGATTTCTTCCTTGTCTTCTTGCAGATAAAGATGTTTCCCTTCTTAGTTTTACAATTATGTCTCTTTAGTGCATATTTTAATAATACTTTAAAACCAGAGTCCAAGAACTTTCTAATTATTGCTTTGGCTTAATGGTTGTTCCATAGTTTTTCCTCAGCTATGACACTTAGTTGTACTAACATACTCAAATACATTTTTAGTTTTGAAATAGTATCTCCAGAATTTGAATGTCTCATATAAATGAATAAAAAACAAGTTGCTTTTCAATTTCCTAGCAAAACTCTAGTAAGTTGTTATATGATTGGCTGTCATTTGTTCCTTTAAAATATTCCTTTTCTCCAGAGATTAGAGCAAGGTCATCTCTCACTGTATGACTGGGAACTACAGTTAAACCCCCACATTTACTGTCACATCCTTTGAAAGAAGAGACGTCAATGATGTTTTTAAGGAACTTTAACATTCCCAGGAATTGTAAGGACACAACATAATAACTAAATAGATAATTGTAATTAAAGCAGTGGTTCTCAACCTTTCTAATGCTGTGACATTTTAATACAGTTCCTCACGTTGTGGTGACCCCCAACCATAAAATTATTTTCGTTGCTACTTCATAACTGTAATTTTGCTACTGTTATGAATCGTAATGTAAATATCTGATATGCAGGATGTATTTTCATTGTTATAAATTGAACATAATTAAAGCATAGTGATTAATCACAAAAACAATATGTAATTATATATGTGTTTTCTGATGGTCTTAGGCAACCCCTGTGAAAGGGTCATTGGACCCCCAAAGGGGCCGCGACCCACAGGTTGAGAACCTCTGAATCAAAAGAAAGGATGCTCTTTTCAGCCTTCCTAACCTCCTTACTCCGCTATGCACTTTGTAACCCAGGGGCTCCTAGAACTTTACACGGTAACATGCTCTTTCCTCCACCCTGTGTGGCAGCCCTGTTCCAAAATATTTTTTATTTATTCCATTTATCAATGCTAGTTTTTAAGAGGCAAAGTTCACAAAAGTAGTTTGCATCTTTTAAATATTTTTATATTTTAAAAAGTGCAAAGAAAGCTAATTTTTTCAATTAAGAGCTGTCATATCAAGTGATTTTAATGTAGATATACACTTTTTTCTTTAAAGAGGAAAGTGAGAGTGTGGAAGAGATAACTTTTCACTGCATATAAATTCACAGTATCTTTATGAAAACTCTAAAAAGCAGTATTGAACGATACAACTCAGAAAAACCTGTGGATCTTTACATAATAACTCAAATATTAATTACATCTGATTTTGTAAAGTTAATGTCAAATCTTCTCAAAGAAAATCAACACACAGATTTACCAAAGATGAAAGTAAAAGAAATAGCCAATGTACTTACTCGTCTGAAAGTTAATAATAGCTTCAGCTGATTCTTTAGCAACCAGAACCCTAAGGGTTAACTTGAGGAAGAGAATCCATTAAAAAAGGTTTGTGTAAAAATTTCTTTAAGTTTATGACTCTACTTACCCTGACCCGTGCTCTGGGAAGACGTAGGGCTCTTTGAATTTTTCATCTCCAACATGAGAAGATTTTCAAACTAAGAACTTGATGCCTAGGAAATGTTTTCTACTCTTTCTTGGTTGAAAGTAAAATATTGTTCAACTATTTCCCCTTTTTGTTTTGAAATCATTGATATTATGACTTTTCTGGATAGGATAAGAGGCTTCCACACTATTAAGACTTATATTTGATTTATTTGCTGTACCTCACACTAAGTATTAAACAACTGGGTCCTCGGTGACACAGGTTCAAACATCACTAATGAGTTTCCTTTGTAATGAACTAGGGCAAAAATCCTGTAAGATGCAGCAGTGGGGGCACTGTCCCTAGAGACACAAAGATGTGACAATAGCAACAGGCACAGGTCAAGATAAAATAATAAAAAACCAGAGATCAAGAAGTAGTCTGTCTTTCCTGTGTTTCTTCCCTACCATCTAAGAAAGCTGAAAGATCACTCAGCTCTATTCCATTTGCTATTTTTCTCAATCATTATAAAAGATAACAAAATAGAAAATTAGAAAACTCAAAGCAAGTGATAATTCTTTTTTATATTTTAAAGAACTGTATCAGTGGTTCTCAATCTCCCTAATGCTGTGACATTTTAATGCAGTTCCTCATGTTGTGGTGACCCCCAACCATAAAATTGTTTTCGTTGCTACTTCATAATTGT